AGCAAGTTGCCATATAGATCTGCAAGTCCTTTTAGTAAATTGAGGAACTGACTTGTCAAGCTACTTTTACAGTTAACACAAGGAAAAGTATAACTGGCAAATCTTACCAGTAAAAGTGAGTTTTGCAGTAAATTAAATGGCTATGATTTTCAGAGTTGTATTAAAAGATGCTGCTTTAAAGTCGTAACAGAGGAGTGACAAGGGCTACCAAGGATTTTAACTTGATGACTCTTTTTAATGGAATACACTTTAAATGCTGTTTATAGAATTAGAAATGTCTGGCAACATCTTTACATGTTGTGCTGACAAACTGCCATCATCAACAATGCAGTCTTGTGTTGAAAACTTCCAGTTACGTAGGACAGACAAAATTATTATTCTGATCATCTCCATTTTTTTGTCTGGTGCGGATTTAATATCCTTGGTATGAATTTAATGTGAGATTCTATGTGCTTTTCTGAGAAGTAGGCTGCCCCATTGCCCCATTCTGGTGGGTGTTTTTTGTCTTCCTGGAGGAAGAGACCTGTGTAAGGATTAGAAGGTAGCTATCTCTAATAAATAGGTTATCTGAAATGCACAGAAGTGTGAGAACCAAATTTCTAGATTAATTCCAAAACTGTGTATTCTATCCGAATTCATTCACTTACCAAAAAAAAAAAAAAAGTTTCCTGAAAATCCAATTGTGTGTTTCAGACTCCTAAAGATGAAAAACATGCACCAAACAGTCTGTTTTATTTGTATATTATTGGTCTCAAACAGGCATAATTACTTCTTGTATTCTTTAACTTCTAGTATTCTCCCTGTGCCCACTGGCAAATTTTAAGTGTCATTTTGTTTTACTTTTTGTTTGTTTTTTTTACTCCTCATATTTAAAATGATAGATTGTGCCAGGTGAAAAGATAGCAATACATTTTCTTTCAAATGAGGTTTCTCTTTCTGAATGTAATAGCCACTGTAGAAGCCTGCCAACAGTACACCTGGGGAGATATCTCTCACAAAAGCTAGGGGGAAAAAAAAAAAAAAGTAAATTTTAACTGTCAGCCAGGACAAGGCAGCAGTTGTGGTGCGACGCTACATGGCTTGTATTTGGAATGTGGTTCCTAAATAGCATGTTTTATCAGTGCTTTTAAAAAATGATTTAAGAAAATTGTCTAAAGATGCTAAGAAATGCATTCTTCAAACAAGTATTGTTTTCTTGATAATGGAAAGAAGGCAGAATTAATCTTTGGTTGGATAAATTAATGGATGAGTCCTTTAGAAACCTAACAACAGTGTTTGTCATGGATGATGGCTTTCATTGAAGTTGGTGGGAATTCTAAAGTTCATTTGAAATTGATCTGAAAGGCCATTCAAGTACCGATACCTGTTCCTGTGAGCTGGGCCTAAGCAATTAAGGTTGTGTAAAAAGAGATAGTTACTTCTAATAGGGCAAAATTAATGCCTTGTGCTGTTAGTAAAAGGTTAATTTCTGCTATATAAGGAAAATGCAATTAAAAATTCAAGAACAAAAAAGAGAAGCTGGGTAGGAAGGTTGCATTTGCTGTCTGTCACCTCAGTTCTCAAAACTCCGGCTGCGTGGTGGGCAGGGTGGTGCCGACGTAGCAGGCTTCGGGCTAGGCAGAGAAAATAAAAAGGCACCCCTGTAGTTTTAGAGGAAAATGCATGTGGCACTTTTTCCCCAGAATCATGGAAATTGCAGTTTGTGTTAGTTAAGAAGCGTACCATTCAAGAATTCCAGTGTGAGAAACTAAACTGTAAAACATAGGTTTTTCATTTAAAGGTTGAAGCATATATTGAGTAGGTGTGATTCTTGTAAGTCTGCATTTAGGACAAGGAGATGTTCTGAGCAAAAAGTTGGAATTGAAGGCTGTAGACTTGTGTGTCAGGAACTGAACAGGTCATGCTAGTTTTTGCTGTGAATAAGACTCATGACCAAAATGTCAACTCTTCAAGAGCATTTAGGAAAAATACTCTTTAACTGGACTTTAATGTTTCTCTTTTTTGTCATCATGTAGGATATGAGGCATCTAAGAAGCTAAACAGGAGATCTTTATAGCCCAGTCTTTCCTTGAATACCTACATTTTTTTTGAGACTAAATGTTTTCCTCCTCTACCCACGCTCCCCGTCTTACTTTATTGTGAGTCTGCCCTTTGTCAGAAACATGCAGAGATCCAATGCTTTAGTTCTGGTAGTTTCCTGCTATTGTAATAATTAAATAAATAGTTGTAGCTTAGCCTAGAAGCGGGTCTAAGACTGTAAGTTGTGCCCTATCTTTGCACAGTTAAACCTCAGCAGAATTGAGACAGTAGCTCTTGCTATGCACGACATAAAGCACGTGCAAAAGCGCCCTATACCGTTTCAGTAGCTGCAGAGCATGGAGAAAATACACGAAGTAATACTTGCTTTGCAAAAAATTACTAGTATGGAATAGGAAACGGTTGTCACAGGGAAGATCTTGAAAGATGTTTAACACAACCCCAGTTAAGTTAGAGCCGTGTGCTCTGTTTCTCCAAAGATTGGGGACTGAAATAATTCTATTCTAGATGCACCTGGGAGTGAAATAAATGGGCATAGGTAGGAAAAATTGACCTTCTTCATGGTGTATGAGTTTTTGTACTTGGTAGTTACTGTACTTGGGATCTCATTGTCTGTTTTCCTGTCCTTGGCAGTATTACAGGGGTGTATTTTCACATGAATGAAGTGTTCTTGAATAATTTGTCTGACTATGCTGGGAACAAACAGGCTTTTCTTCCATGTCTGGCATGAGTGTTTTCTTCAGCTAACTTCTTACTGAAAGAAAGTTCCCATTTTGCATTCATATTTGGCTTTTGCTGACTACATGTGATCATATTGTAGGAAGTTTGGGGAGTAGTAGAACATCTTACTATATCCATAGTTTTGGGGGGATGTGGAGAACAACAATTTGGGGGTTTTTGGTGGTTTTACCGAAGGATCAGTTGATTAAAAAGTCTTCCCCCTACTAGTGATTAAAATGTTTCTTTTCCTACAAAAGCTGTTTTAACCTCAGTTCTTGATGTCTGTGTTCGTGTACTGATAGAGTTACAAGCATGGATCAGTATTAATATTAAATGTGTGAATATAGGTAAGCTAGATAAATTACACTCAATTTTAAAAGCTATCAAAACTGAGTTGTTGCCTTTAAGTAAGTGTTTGATATGTAGGATGATGCTAATGCACATCCAAGTAAAGGAATTATTGATTGAGATACATTCATTTCATGAAAGCTACAATAAAGAATGTAGCTAGCTGCAGTAGGAAAATACTGGTATGTAACGTTAGAAGAGTTTTTTCTAAGGAGGCATTGTTTTGTTCTCAGAAAATCCAGGTTTCTATTTGTTGTCCCTTTTTTTTGTCTCAGGTGCAATTAATAGTCTGCTTCTCTGAAGAGGAGAAAAATATTGTTTTGAAGCCTTTCATGAAAAGGTTTCTTAGTGGTGTTATGTATACTTTTCAAATTACTGGAAAATTAAATTCAGTGAATGAGTCATGGGAATATTACTCTTTAAAATCGATTTTTAGTTATGTACAAGATCCTATTTGTACTGATTAAAGACAAATGAGATTTTTTTTTCTTCCAACGTGGTTGAGAAATTAAATTGAAGAATGGCTTTACTGATGTGGCTTAACACATATGTGGAAGGTGGGAGGGAGAGCGGATTCCAAAGAGATATCAAATAATATCTGATTATGTCATATTTTCTCATGTGTTTAGTCAAACCATTTTAACTATGAAATAGCTCACCTCAACAAGAGTACTCGCAGAAATTATGATCACAGTGACTACCATTATGGGAAACTTCCAAAATGAGTTTATTTGTTATTGACTATTCAGTGTGCAGTCCTCCAAGTCATCACTCCTATTGCTTATCTTTTTTGCTTTGGTGGAATTAAAATATGGGCTATGCCAAATGAGTGGAGATTATAAGGTTTAGTATTTAATTTCTAAATTCCTCATGGAAGAGAGCATGTCATTACACAACACTCCAGAGCATGTATGTCTACTGCTCCACATAAATGTTTTATTGTAGGGTTGCTTGTGCCACAGTAGTGAAATATCTAGGGCAAAGGGAAATTAGACTGCACTGATTCTATCCTGTGTAATACTGCTAGTATATTAAATGACCTATTAGTAACCAAGTTGTTTGAGATGATTCTTGAAAAGCATCACTCTTAGCTGGATTCTTGCTTGGGCTGAAGAACAGTAGAAAAAGGAAATCTAAAGCTATTTGTGATGGCATAGGGATAACAGATTTTTCTTTTAAAAGGTTCTGGAAAACATTAACACCACCAATGAATGGCTTGATCTTTGCTCTCAGCTCCAGATGACTTGTCCTTTTGTTCGTAAGGGTATGTATACTTCCATTGTGAAAGTGTTGGCAAAATCTAGAATTATTTTAAAACGCATCCTTGTAGTTTTTTGTTTTATTCACTTTGGCAGCCACACTAGAGTGTCTGACCCAAGGGATCTCTAACTTAGTGGTTTATTCTTGATCTAGCATTGCTTTACAGCAATGATAAGATGCAACGTCAAATATCTCCTTGCTCCTTTGAGGAGATACAGCGTGTCAATGCAGCCAAAGGCCTTGGACCTCTGAGACATGCCACTGAATATCTGGCTCAAAAACTTCACAGTTTTGCCCCTCATTGTAGCTTTCAAGATCTTCTCATGCAGTCTGCTGAGATGTAAGATTTCACTGCAATGTCTTCCTGCAGACCTGCATACTGGTATGGAGAAAAAGAAATAGAGGGTCGTGTAGCATCAGTCATATGCTGGATATATGCCTGGGGCAGTGCTGTCTTTTTAGTCTGCTTGGAAAATCCTTCTAGGAATATCCTAGATATATCGCTGATCTTGGTGACTTGCTGTGCTCTAAAAAGTTTGAATTTAGCAAAAAATGGATAACATTGTATTACGTTTTCTGAACTCTTACTTTTCTAAAGCAACTACTTTGTTTATAACTTAAGCTTCTGTTGTTAGATGTCGTCTGTTACTGAAAACGGAGATGTTACTGCTGGAAAGCCAAATGAAGAGAAAACATATAAAAAGGTAAATAAAACTTACAACCTTTTCATTGCATGTTTTCCCTTCATATTGGTAATTCAAATCTGCTGTAGATTAAATGTATTTCAGAATTGACTGAATACAAGGACAAACAAAACACTTTCCGTGGATTTTTTTGAAAGTACTTTATTCCTTCTGTGAATCATACCCATGTGGAGCTGACTATTTGAAAGCATGTTCAATACAGCTTTAAAGTATACACTCTTGCTAGATTGATGGAAATTCTTTGCTCTTAGCAACAAATACACCTCTGGGCATAAACACCGTTGTCAGAAATTTAGTATGGTAAGTTCCCAAATGCTTTGAATGTTTATGCAATGTGTCTGGACTACAAACCTACCCTACCACTTCCTCAGTGCTTTGCCAAACAGTACACTTATTGTTTGCTTTGTTTTTTAAAAAAGAAATGTTGTCTAAGAGAGGACATATTTAATGTAGGAGCATGCATCAACAGTAGCAGCATAGGGTTATTTAGATGTTGTAACAGTAGCTGATACTGGTTTTGGTTTTGTTTTTCTGTCACTGATTGATTGTCTGGAACCACCATTATTGAGGTCCACCTAGCACTGTTGATAACTAAGGGCAGCTAGAAATGCACATTTTTCTATACATATTTACACAACCAAATTGTTAGCTGCTGGATTTGATCATTTTCTTGACAGATCACCTCAAAGAAGTGGTGATTTTTTTTCTTAATTTTTGTAATCTAGGACAGAGATCCACATGCTCCTACAGTATATATCATGGGTTAGGGGTTTTCATTTCTGAGTGTTGCCTACAGCACTGCTAGTGAAGTCAAGGAGAATAAGCTACTATTGCTTTTCCCACCCTTTTCATTGGCAGCTACATTTTCAGTCTGGGTGGCCTTAACATTCCAGATAATTTTCTCAGAAATTAAAGGAAGTAATGTTTGAGAAAATGCTTTTCTTCTTTTTAGATACAGGTTATGTTCAGTCTCCCAGCTTATGACTTTAAAATATTGAAGTCTAAATTGTTCTTGACATTTAGTATGAGAAAGGAAGAAAAGTTCAGTGCCTGAGGCAGACAGTTTTGCAGTTTTATATTGCTAGACAAGACAAATCCTGGTAGTCCCACCACAGGTGAGTTTCCATTCCCCCCCGGTCATCCTACATGTTTTTCTCTGTTCCTGTTCAACTCTAAATTCACAATATTCAGAGGAAGCCTTGTAAAGACTTCTCACCATGACACAAATTATTTTTCTGTGTATTTTTGAAATACATCTCTGACAAAACCTTGGATTCACAACCACATCACATCAGGAGATCACAGTGACTGTCATCTCCCCTGAACCACTGGTTGTCTGTACTTGTATCTTACACCACTTTAATTCCTTTTTTTTATATTTACACCCTCAGTTGTTCAAGATCCTGTGTTGCATATGCCCCATAGTTTAGTGTTATCACCAAATATTATCATTATGGTCCTGCTTTTTGTGATAATGTTAATAAAAATTTAATACATTTTCACCCCACAATTTATCCATGCAGGGCTTACTGGTAGCATGTCTTTGCCTGATGCGTTCACTTTTAACAATGTATCTCTCCTCTTAAGCCAAATTCCTTACAAACCTTGCACTTTCTGTTAATTCTCACCTTCTTCAGCTATTCCATGTAACATTGTTTCATATTTTTTTACAGAAGTCCAGAGGAATAAACTGCATATGTCTAGAAAGTTAGTTACAGGGTGAGCCTGGCAGGACCTGTGTTTGACAGAGGCATTTCATGCCATTTCCCATTTAATTTCATATTTTTAGGTAACTTTCACAAGGAGATCTTGCTCTGTTGAAGTCTTGTTTACAGTTCAGACCCGCCTGTCTTTTATTCCACATCACTTTTCTTCACTCATGTATATAGGTATTGCATTTGCAGTTCTCCAGTCATGTGTTGTTGCACTTGGTTTGTTTGGCTGGAAAACACTTGCAGTTCTGACCTGTGACTTCCTGTGCCACTTCTTCCAGAAATCTGGGGTGGAGAAGAGCTGCTTTCCTCAGCTGGTGCTTTTTCAGCTACTTGGGCAGTTCCTGTTCCCATCTACCACTGCCCTTGATTGCAGTGGAAACACTTAGGCGAGATACTCACGTAGGTCTGAGGTCAGGCCGTGCTTGCTAACCGGTCCTCATTGCTCAGAAGCTTCGCTTCCACTTTAAAAAAAAAAAAAAAAACATAAAAGAACAAAAACCAACCAACCAAACAAAAAGAACAAAACAAAAAACAAAAAACAAAACATAATAAAGGTGAAGAAGCTTGTGCTGTTCAGCTTAGAAAAGCAAAGGACAGTACCTTGGCTTGAATTGTGGCAATTCTGTTTTTTACTCTGCTCTGCTTTGACCTCTAATGTATAGCATAAGGGCAGCTGTATAACTGCTGTTAAGGTGGGACTGAATAAGTTTATGAAGGACTGTGTGGCATGGGACCTGTGGTGCTGGTGTGCATCTTTGACCTGGAATGCTCTTACCAGCGATGTGCTCCTCTGAAAAGATCTGGTAGCCAAAGAAGTGGTGTCATGAGATGTGGGCATGGAGGGTTTCAACAGAGTAATAGTATAGCTGCAACCAGAATGAGTAACTAGCATGTAGTTCAGAAATACAGACCTTAGAAAAGTTTTGTAATGTCAAGTTTTATGTTGGTAATTCAGGGGATTTCTAGTGATAATCCTGGGAGACAATCATCCTGAAATGCGATGACAGTTTCAGTCTCAACCCCACCCCAGGTAAAAGGTCGCCCTTGCAAAGCAGAGAGTTAATGTCATCCTGCTATTGCCTCCTGTTGTTGGGACCCGCTGGTTCCACACAAGGACTCAGTAACAGTAACTGTGTCATGAGCTGTGTGGTTTGGTCTTAACTTTAAAATATTCCTTGGGCTCTTTGTCTTCTCAGGGAGCTAAATGCCAGTGTGCCTCTCCTCTCCCAGGCGATTGCAAAAGGGCTTGCTGATTCAGGATCTGCAGTCACTTTGTGGCAAAAAGTCCATGATACTCAGACGCATGCTGGAATGTCTATAATGCCCAAAATAAAATGAAATCTCTAGGCATAAGGGATGCACTGACACTGCTCTGCTGAAATTTGCTTTGCATGGGGTGGGGTGTGAGGGGGAGCAATCCTCAATCTGATCTATAAAGCAAAATAGCCTTTTGTTTTACAGTTTTGCATTTTGCTTAATTATATCTTGTGTCCATTCATCTTTCATAATAGTATGCAAAGATTATGTCTGTGCAGCTTTAGTCATATATATATAAAAATTCCATAAAAACAGGAAAAATGATGCATGGAAAATGTCTGCTTTGTGATGTAAAATCCAGTGACCCGTAAGAGAAGATTAAATAAATGTCTTGGCTTTAGAGGCATTTTCCTTGTGCCAGGTCCAGTGAGAAATAAGCCTAAGTAATCAATGTATATAAAGCAATGTTTTAGTTGCTTGATCTGGAAATGTAAATATCCCTTATTAAGAACTGTGAATTGTCTCATTAGAGAAACCTGGGGAAAAGATGGAGAAAATAACTGGAAATACTTGGCTTTTTTTAATCAGTCTGTTTTATGCAAGTGTAAAAAATTAGTATTTTTGTCTTGGAGATAAAGCTGGTTTTTATCTAGTGTAAATGAAACTGCTTACCTTAGCCAGTACCATCTGTCCCACTGATATAGAGATGAATGATGGCTTACTAAAACCCATTTCCATCAGAAAACAATTTCTAACGGCTGTTTGATGAAAATCAATTTTCTGCTGGGGCATGTAGAAAACTTTCACATTCTTGTCCTTGTGGCTCACTCCCCCTTCTGAAGCCTCTGGAGGAGATGATGTAGATACTGCTTTGAGTAGCAGCTGGACTGGACTGACTAATGTGGAAAGGACATACAGCTGCTGTTGCACCTAGTGACGTGGGACTCGGTTGCTGCAGCAGATGGAGAATGAGCGGGAAGTAAAGACTCCTTAATCCACTTCCTCTTCTGTTCCTTCTTCAGTCTGCCTTTTGCATGCTGCTCATACTGTCAGGGTGTGCACTGCTGAGGGTGATGTTCTTATCTAGTGCACCTCATCCCTGAGGACCAGTTAGCTGTGATTAATTAGTTTGTAGCTCTATGCTAAGAAAAAGCATCTGAGTCATTCACTGGTGAAAATGGGCTATCCTCAAAATGTGCTTGTCCTTTCTCTGTCTGGATGCATCAGTGTATTTTGGCTTGCTGTAACTCTTTAGCACAGTTTGGCCTTGGGAGAGTTCTTAAGGGATTACTTGCCTGTTCATCCTGGGGGAAAAAGGAATCTTAGTTTAAAATGGAGAAGTTTATTTCTGATATCTAGTATCTTTGCTGTGCAGTAGCAATAAGTTGCAAATGTGTCCTGCAGCTGTGTAGATTAGTTAGGTTTTATATAT